CAACAGGGCTAAGATCCTGTGGGACTTCCAGATTCAGACAGACAGGCAGGTACTGGCCAATCAACCAGACACTGTTGTAGTAGACAAGGACCAGAAGATAGTGGTGGTGATAGATGTAGCGGTGCCAAGTGACAGCAATATTAGGAAGAAGGAATATGAGAAGCTGAAGAAGTACCAGGGCTTGAAGGAGGAACTAGAGAGGATGTGGAAAGTAAAGACCAAAGAGGTCCCAGTGGTGGTAGGAGCACTCGGGGCTGTGGCTCCTAATCTAGAGAGTAGCTCCAACAGATCCCAGGAACAACATCAGAGCTCTCTGTCCAGAAGAGTGCAGGGCTAGGAACAGCTCAGATCCTGCGCAGGACCCTCAAACTCCCAGGCCTCTGGTAGAGGATCCAACATTGAGGAAGACACATACCACCCATAGGGGTGAGAGGGGAATTTTTCTATATAATGTGCTTCTGAAATCCCATGGTGTGTATGTGGACTTATGGCACATTGTGGCCGCAAGTTGAACACTGGATTGGGAAAGCATCAGGACAACAATGGTATGTTTTGTTCAAATGTACTCTGATCCAAAACTTTTTTGAAACTTCTCTGAAAAAGTTACAAAACCTAAAATGAGATATCTAGCATGTATTAAACCTAGAGATAAATAAAACAGAAGTGGTTATTTCTGTGACCAGTTATGCCTTCTTTTCATCGTGGCAACACAAAATTTGGCTACTGACAAGTGATCAAAGGTTTTAAATCTTCTAGAAGATGGCTCACATAGAAATTGTCTGACCTTCCTGGAAATTTGCATTTTAGGGGCAGAATATAAGCAGACCTGATATTCCTCTAAAATTTACAGTGTAGTAATACATATGAAATGGTTTCAGTCCCCTTGTCACCACATGGACATGGGCAGGTATGCTCTGTTAATGGGTTTTTGGGAGTATCTGCCTTGCAGCTGTGTGGATGGTAGGATGTTTTTCGTTTTTCTTAATATAACTTTACTAGAATTTTAAAACAAAAGATTAAAACTAAGAATAAATATTTAGAATTTAAAAAGTAGAAAAAGGAATGAAATAAGAAAAGAACACAGACAAAAGTGCATTATTCCATATGAGCATCTGTTAAACAAATTATCCTCTTCCGCTACAGCACCAGTCCTGCTGTTGGCTTCTACACTTTTTTACTGATATAAATGACTTTAAGTGGGTTTGAAAAAACAACAACACAGATTTGTGTGTAAACTCAGAGCAACGCATAAGGTTTCTTGGCTGGAGAAGCTAATGGAAAAAGAGCAAAAGTTGGGTGGGAGGTCCTAAAGAAGAAGATATTAAAAGCACAGTTGCAGAACACCTTCAGTGAGGATAAAAAATGGGGGATAGAAAAAGAACCCAGTGTGGCTACACAGAAAGCTTAGTGGAGATCTGAAAGGAAAAAAGGACTTGTATAAGAAATGGAAATAGGATCAGGTCACAAAAGAAGAATACAGATGGCCTGGAGCTGTAAAACATGTGTCTGAGGAAGCAAAACCTCAGAATGAGCTGGGATTGGCAAAGGATGCCAAAAATATCCAAAAGGGTTTCTTTAGATATGTTCTTGATTATGGTATGGCTGAACCCTTAAGTACTGTTTCTGAGAAATCCTGGAGAAATGGGGAAAGATGAGTGAAGAAAAGCAAATGCCTTTGTTTTCAAAAACTGGAA